AAGATAATAAGAAGGAGGAGGAGTTGATTGCACTGTACGAGAAGAAGAAGGGCGGTGGGGAATCATCACTCGGTATGCTCTCAGTGCGTCTGACTGCGCAGCTGAAGCGGGTGAGGGAGGTGCTGGCGACGTGGAAGGAAGTGGACGAACGTGTCTCCAAGCTGTGCCCCTCTAAAAGTCCTGCGAAGAATCCCTCAACTGGCGATGCGTGCATCGCTGGTAAGATCACGGATGGGCTGGTTGGCTTTTTGTCCAAAAACTTCTCTGATAACACATGGAGGGACGAGTACCTCGGGGTGGACGCCACAGTAAAGAAAGGAACGAATGGAGGGGCAGCAGGGTATGCGGATGGAGTGAAGTTCCAGGGAGCGTGGGCGGAGTGGCCCGTTGGCAAGCAGGGGCAGAATCAGCTGTACCACTTTGCAAACCACAACTTCACTCTGGTGGCGACGGTGTCTATCCACGGTGAGCCGGAGGGAGATACCCCCATTCCATTGATGGGTGCGACGATGAATGACGGTAAGAATACAGTGCTCCTGGGACTGTCGTACGACAAAGAGGGGAAGTGGCAGATGCTGTGCGGTGGCAAAACGACCAAGGAACTCCGCAGTAATTGGGAGCCAGGGACAACACACCAAGTGGCCATTGTGCTACGGAACGGCAGCCAGGGCTCCGCGTACGTCGATGGTCAGCGTGTGGGAGATGCGTCATGTGAATTGAAAAACACGGATTCGAAAGGAATCTCCCACTTCTACATTGGAGGGGATGGAGGCAGCACAGGCAGCAAAGAAGACGCGCCTGTGACCGCGACGAATGTCCTGCTGTACAACCGCCCGTTGGATGACAATGAGATCCGCGTCCTCAACGCAAACAAAATTTCTATTCCAAAGCTGACAGGCCTGAAAACATTGGCGGCAGGAGCAACGGGTGTCGGTACCGCTCGCCACTTTGGGGCACATGGTGATGGGAGCACTGTTTGCGGAGGCGGACTGCTGCCGCTGCTCCTTCTGCTTGGATTGTGGGGTATTGCCGCTTCTTGAGGTGTGTGTGGCCTCTGCGTGGAACACCTCAGCCCTTCCCCACCACCGACGCACACACCCCTGGTAGTGGATTACTCTCCGTAAAGGAAAACTTTCATGTTTTTTTTTTTTAACTTTTTGTTTACTAATCTTTTGCTCCACCATCTCTTCTCTTTTTTCCTTTTGGGGGCAATCACTATGGAAGTTTTTTTCTTTTCTACTCTTCCCTCTTTTAATTGTTTCTGCTGCACTCTTCCTATGAGGGGTGCCGTGTGTTTCCCGCCCAACTGCTCCACTCGCACACCCACCGACACGCTCATGACGACGGCCCTGTGCGCCTCGCCTGCTGCACGCATGAGGAGGGGCCGCGACGAACGGCGCGCTGAGGGAGCCGTGACGTGTGGGCGTGCGACGAGGGCCGGTGGGGAGGAGCACACATTTCTTTCCCTCTTGTTTTGTTTTTTTGCGGCCCGGGTGGGCATGTTTCCGCAGCGCCACACACACACAGCCACACCCTGCCGCCGTGTTTTTAAGATTTTTTGCTTTGCTTGTGCATTTTACGCGCCGGCAGTCCCTTCGGTGTCGGCCTCGTGAGCATTTCTTTTCCCCTCCTGATGTTTTTTTCTTTTGCTGCGCTCACTCTCCCGATGGAGTGACGCGACTCCCGTCATTTCTGCGTGCTTCTCTCAGTCTCACCCCACACACGAGTGACTGTGCTCTGCGGGCCGCACTCACGCGCCGATGAGAGGGCTGAGGGGAGCACCAACACGCAGATGACCCCATGAAATATAAACGATGTGCAGACACGCAGAGGGCCAAACGGTTGAAAGACATTTAAATATCTTTTAATTTTATCTTCGGACAAAATATATGCAGACAGCTTGGTGTGGCCACACGGCAGCCGGCTGCTTTTTGTGTGTGTAGTTTTTCTTTTTTTCTTTTTTTTTTTTTGTTTGGGTGTAGCCGTAATAGAGGACGACTTTTTTCAAATTTTTTCTTTTTTTTTCTCTTTTTTCCAAAGTGTGAGGTGTGGAAAGGTGAAGATGAATTTATTATTATTTATTTTTATTAATTTTTTTAATGAATTGCCGCTGCTTGGGCTGCAGTGCAATATTGTGAGCCTGAGCAGTCTTTTTCTCTTTATTTCTGCCATGCACCTCTGCTGTACGTTTTTGTTTGTGCGTCCCTTCACATGCTCCGCTCCTGTTTTTACTTCTTTGCTTCGTGTGTCTGCAGGCACACACACAACCACATGCACACACAAAATGCACATTTCATTCGATTTGGATGCTTCTTTTGTAGCGTGTGCTGGCGGTTGCGGGTGGCGGCGGTTCTCTTCTTCCGTGGCCATGAAGAGAAGGAAGGAGGAGGGAGTGCGCAGCCCGAGTCTCCTTTTCTGTGGGTGTGATGCGCGCGGTGGATTTGTCGTGTGCTCCGAGTGACGGCAGCCTGAGCTATCGCGTGCATGTGTGTGTGTGTGTGTGGGCGTGGAAGAAGAGTTCTGCTGCCGTTGCTGAGGCTAAGTATGAGAATTATACTTTCAGTGGCTTTGATGTGCGCATGCATAGCAGGAATGGTGAGCTGGGTGCTGTGTTTAATGTGGCCCATGCGGTGCACACATGTAGCAACTGTGCTGCCAGCTGTGCAACGGAAGAGGAAGGGGCCACCGTTGCCTTCACGATGAATGTGACGACACATAAATACGCCGGCCCTTATGAATTGCGGTGGCGTCAATTTTCTCCCGATGGAACCATCCATCCGCCTGCACGGAGCAGCGATGCTGACCAGACGGGCATCCGTCAGTTGCCGCCACCCCGTGAAGGGAAGGATGACACAAAATCTGGTGGGACAACTGCGCCGCAAGTTAATGCTGAGCCGTCACGTCAAAACGAGGATTGGCGACAGTCTGCGGCGGCTGACGCACCGAACACCGTCGATCCGAGTCCCGCATCCAACACGGCGATCAACACGTCCGAGACGAGGCCTGAATTTGCCAGCAATCCGAACGAAGTGATGGTCCCGAATGCACCCAAGAAGAGGCCTTCCTTTGCCAACGGTCTGAGAATATTAGTGGCGCCGAATGCATCCGGGATCATGTCTGTCACTTATGGCGGCAGGGAACACGTTGCTGCGGATAACACGGACGAGGTGAGTGAGCGCAACGCCACCGGACACAAATCTCTCGTTTTAGAAAATGGCTTTGCAGGCAGTGGATTTGTTGCTGAGGGTGATGCGGACGGATTGGGTCAACGCAATGCCTCTGGACACGAAAACCCCAATTACGAGAATTCACCGCGCAGTATTCCGGAAACGGTGTGTGTCCCGACGACTGCTTTGCCCTGCTCTACGACGCGAAATTGACACTGCGAGAGTTAACTGTTGACGGCACTGTGCGTGTGTGTGTGTATTGGGCGTTGCTGCTGCTTCTGGGATTGTGTGGAGTTGTGGCGGTCTTGTGAGCCAAAGAGTGTGGAATTGCGACTCCTCACGGAGAACATGTGCCGCGTTCCCTGCGTGTTTCCTTTTATTATTTACATTTTGCTGTTTGTTTTGTTGTTTTCCTGGAATAATAAGTATCCTTGCTGTTTCTTTATTTAATGGTCGGTTGCTGCACATTGTCATGTGTAACTTATTTCCTCTACTTATTTTGTTTTTTGTTGCCCACACGCGGTGCCGGCCTCATTGTTGTGCGTCCCACGGACTGCACGTACGAGGGCTGAGGGAACAGGCCGGATGCCGGACGAATTATAAGGGATGTTGTGTGGGATGGTGGAGCAGCAGGATCTCTTCTTTTCTCATATTATTTTCTGCTATTTTTGCGGGGAAGATGTATACACAAACACACGGTTGTTTCTATATTGTGCTGCATGGCACATGAAATAAAACTACGACCTAATCTATTTTCTTCATCCTTTCCGGGAGTTTTGCCGGACTATTAACTCAGTTTTTATTTTTTTTTATATTTTTGGTTTGCATGGCGGTGTGTGAGTTCTGCACTTGTACTGGTTCCAACTGCCTCATGGTGTGTGCAAATTGCCATCATTTCTCCTGTGCGTAGTTGAATAACTTTTCTCTTCTTTTTGGTTTGCGTTGACGTGTTGTTAGTTTGTGCTGAAGGCTACACGCAACTGACAGGAGTGATGGCGATGATGATGACTGGCCGTGTGCTGCTGGTGTGTGCCCTCTGCGTGCTGTGGTGCGGTGCCGGCGGTAGATGTGACGGGGGAGAAACGGCGGGTCTTCGGAGTGATGAACCTCCGCCGGAATCACAAGAACTTGAAAAGTCTCCACAAGTCACCCAAGACTTACAAGATGAAGCAGGAGGTGTTGTAGAGACAGCAGTACCTTCCACAACCACAAGGAAAGATGAAGAAGATGGTGATGATGGTGATAAAGGGACGGAAGGTGAAGAAAGAACAAAAGGGCAGGGTGGTCAAGGAGGAAAAGCTGCACCAGACCCAGATTCCGGGGAAAGGGATTTAAGTGGCAGCGGGCAGCAAACACACCAGTCAATTTTATCTGCAGGGGACATTTCTCATTCCGACAGTCAGGAATCAAATGCCAATCCTACGCAAACGGAAGTTGAAGGAAAGAATGAGACTGACGAAAATACACCTGCAGCAGAGAACGCACTCACAACAGTTAACGGAGAGCACACACTGCCTGCTGGAATTGTGGAAGGAAATCTTCCATCACCTTCAAAAGACAGTCTTGCTTCCCGCAAACAGGATGGCGAATACACCACGAGTGAAGGTAAAGAAAATGTTCCGTCGCCTGCGACCGCGGCCACATTACAAAGCCACCGAGACAAAGGCTCAGAAGGGACTGGGGAAGATACAAAAGCAACGACAGTAACCGCCAACACAACTGATACGACGAAGCCTGGCGACAGTGACGGCAGCACCGCGGCCTCCCACACCACCTCCCCTCTTTTGCTTCTTCTTTTTGCGTGTGCGGCTGCTGCTGCGGTGGTGGCCGCGTGAGAGTGAGGGAGAGAGAGCCGTGCACCGCCCGCACACACACTCGTCCTTCACTCCCTGTGTGTGTGTCCCCTTGCATGAACTCTCGCCCTCACCTCACCCCACGAAGCACACACATAATGTGCCCATTGTATATATGCATGCACACCCATGCAGGCCCGTTGGTGCTCTCTCCTGCACCACACGCACCGCTGCCGTCCTGCCTGGCTGCATGGGCGGAGCACCGTAACTGTTTCTGTTTTGTTTTTATTGCATTGAGTGGGCGACCTCTCTCTCTCTCTCCCTGTGTGTGTGATTTGCTTTACGGGAGCAATGAGAGTGTGTGCGCTGGTCGTCCCACGCTTTGGCTTCTTTTTTGTTTTACTTGTGTTTTGTGGTTGAGAGCACCCATTCCGCGGGCTGTGTGTGTGTGTTTGTGTGTGATGATATAAGTAATTTGCGTGTGTGCTATCTGCCTCTCTCTGCCGTTGCTTTTCTTTGGACTCTCTTTTGCCGTACAGCTGCTCTGCAAATGTAGGCGCTGCCAAACACACAAAAAACGCCATGTCGCACACGCTGTGGAGCTGCGTGAACGCTGAGAACATGGGCACAAGATTCCGGCTGTGGCGGCTCTTGCGAGCTAGGAGGTCGCGAGCTCGCAATGCGTCCCGGCGACATGATGCGGTTGTTCTGTTGGCGGCGTGCAGCCAGTGAGTGGTGTGGCGTTGAGGGTGCCTGGGACGAGTCTCTATTGACTTTCTCCCAACAGCTGTACCTGCCGATGTGTTTCTGCCGTTGTGGATATGTCGTCGAAGGATTCTCCGGCCGGGTGGGGTGTTGCGTGGGTGCGTTGGAAAAGACAAAAGTAAAAAGACTGGCGGCAGCGTGTGTGTGCTGTGAAGGGCGGCTGTGCTTTTTTTTCCATTCCTCCGGTTACTTTATGTGTGGGCGTTGTTCGGTGTGTGCTGATGCGTGAGGGATAACGACACACCCGTCGTGACTCCTGCTGCTGGTGGTGGCAGTCGCTGTGTGTTCCCGGTGCAGTGTTCTTTCATCTCCTGTTCCGTGTGTCTGTGTGCGTGAGTTGTTGTTGTTGGGAGTGACTGCTGATGGTGTCAGTCGCTGTGGATGGGTGGCGGTGTTCACTTCTTTTTATTAGCATGATTTCTTCATTTCTCTCTCAATCACTCACGAAGAAGGAAAACAAGCGCTAAACGCTACTGTGAAATTCGAAGGCACTGAAAGGACCAACAGCACACACACCGCCCACACACACATATTTATATGCTCTCACGTGTTGCTGCTGTGAAGGCACCCCGCACACACAACCGTCGCCGCGTGACCGGATCCAGCGGAAGGAGGAGGGAAGGAAGAGAGAGTGAGCCGCAGAGGCCCAACATGTCCCGGCATGTGTTTACTTTTGCGGTGCTGCTCCTTCTCGTCGTGATGATGTGCGACACTGGAAGAGCTGCGCAAGCTGGTGTGGAGGAGCAGTCGTCTGGACCAACGTTTCAATGGAAGGCCATCACTGGTGGTGTAACAGTGGACTCGTTGGATGTTCCCGGCCTATTGAAAGTGGGGAGTGACGTGTTTGCCGTTGCCGAGGCGCAGTGCAAGAAGGGTGGAGACAGCTTTACTGGCATTGCATCCCAACTTCTCACGATGGATAAGGGTAACGAACCGGAGGAAGTGCTGAAGGATGCCAAGGATACACAATTTCTGGAGGAAGTCACTTCCCCAGAGGGGAAGAAGAGAGTAGGTGTGAGCCGACCAACAACAGCTGTGAAGGGAAGCGACATTTACATGCTTGTTGGGAAATACAACCGTAATGATGCTCAGGACAGTGGTGAAGGTGACTTGGGGTTGTTGCTGGTGAAGGGTGAGGTCGGTGAAGGCAGTAACAATCAAATCCGTTGGAAAACCACTGACGGTGTACCGTGTACTCTAGGCGAGGAACACAAATCTTTAACAAGGCTGATTGGTGGCGGTGGATCGGGTGTCAAGTTGAAGGACGGTACACTTTTGTTCCCAGTGGAAGGCATAAAGAAGGAAAGGGAGGGCACTGGAATGGATGGAAAGGCCGTTTCGCTGATCCTATACTCCTCGGATACTCCGAGCTGTACACTGTCGAAGGAGGTGCCTGACGGTGGCTGCAGTGATCCCTCCGTTGTGGAGTGGAAGGGAAAACTCATGATGATGACTGCGTGTGATGATGGCCGCCGCAGGGTGTACGAGTCCGGTGACAAGGGGGACTCGTGGACGGAGGCACTCGGGACACTCTCGCGTGTGTGGGGGAACCGAAGGGACGGTGATAAAGCGAACGGCGTTGGAAGCGGGTTTATCACAGCGACGATTGAGAACAGGGACGTGATGCTCGTTACTCTGCCGGTGTATTCTAAGGAAAAAGGCGTACTTCATCTTTGGCTGACGGACAATACGCACATTGTTGATATTGGGCCGGTATCCGGTGATGATGACGCTGCCGCCAGCTCCCTGTTGTACAAAAGTGGAGATAATAAGAAGGAGGAGGAGTTGATTGCACTGTACGAGAAGAAGGGCGGTGGGGAATCATCACTCGGTATTGTCTCAGTGCTTCTGACTGCGCAGCTGAAGCGGGTGAAGGAGGTGCTGACGACCTGGAAGGAAGTGGACAAACGTGTCTCCCAGCTCTGCCTCACTTCAACTGCTGCGAAGAATCCCTCAACTGGCACTTCCTGCAGCGCTGGTAAGATCACGGATGGGCTGGTTGGCTTTTTGTCCGGCAACTTCTCTGGTAACACATGGAGGGACGAGTACCTCGGGGTGAACGCCACAATAAAGAGCGGTGTTGGGGTGGAGAAAACGGAAAATAGCGTAACATTTAAAGGACGTGGTGCGTGGGCGGAGTGGCCCGTTGGCAGTCAGGGGCAGAATCAGCTGTACCACTTTGCGAACTACAACTTCACTCTTGTGGCGACGGTGTCCATTCACAAGGTGCCGGAGGAGGGTTCTCCCATTCCTTTAATTGGTGTGGGGATCAATGACGCCGAGAATCCAGTACTACTGGGACTGTCGTACAACAAAGAAAAGAAGTGGAGGCGAATGTGCAGCGGAGAGCCGAACTTCAAGGAGCACAGCAACAGTTGGGAGCCAGATACGACATACCAGGTGGCCATTGTGCTACAGAACGGCAGCCAGGGCTCCGTGTACGTTGATGGTGAACGTGTGGGAAGTGTGCAATGCGAATTGAAAAAAGCGGAGTTGAAAAAGGTCTCACACTTCTCCATTGGAGGGGATGGACGCAGCGCAGACAAAACAGGGAGACAAGACATCTCACTGACTGTGAGGAATGTCCTGCTGTACAACCGCCCGTTGACTTCCGAAGAGATTGACGCCCTCAACCCGAATAAAGCCTCTATTCCACCTCCGGTAAACACACTCGTTCAGGGAACCGTGTCTCCGTCTACTCCTGGTGGACAAAAGCCAACGGGACAGGAATCGTTGAGAGGAGTTACTGGTAAGAATGGAAAGACAGCGGGGGGAAAAGATGTTCAGGGGGAGGAGGGAATTCATCCACAGGACAGGGAAGTAAATGCTACGGCACTCAACAGCAGCCTCGGAAAATTGTCGCAGGAGAATAGTAGCGATGGCGGCACCATGCGTGGGAGCGGACTGCTGCTGCCGCTGCTTCTTTTGGGACTGTGGGGGTTTGCGGCTCTGTGAGGAGTGACTGGCTGCCGCGTGGAACACTTGCGCCCTCCCCTGCACGGAATTACTTCCCCATAAGAACAAATTTCTCTCCTAAAAATTTTTTTTGTTTCAATTTTTTTTGCTTCCATTTCAATACTTTTTTCAAATTCATTTTGTGTTTTTTTTTTTTAAATCTCTCATCCCTCTTCCCTTCCTTTTTTTTCTTTCAGGGGCAATCAATATGGACGTTTTTTCTTTTCTACTCTTCCCTCTTTTAATTGTTTCTTCTGCACTCTTCCTGTGAGGGGTGCCGTGTGTTTTATTGTATGAGACGTCGACGTCGTCGAAGCTGCTGCTGGTGTGGCGTCCATCCCACGCACACACTCACTAACAAACAAGTGACGGGCTGTGCGCGCTCTCTTCTGCGCGTGTGTGGAGTTTGCGTTGTGGTTGCTGTGCTCTTTTGCCGTTCACTTGCCGCATTGTGGATGAGGTGTGTGTGTGTGTTTACCTCACCACTACCGTGCCGCCCCAGCAACGCACTGTATGGCGTGGAGGCCGTATTTCTCCTCTCCGAGGTGTCCTGATGTAGGCGGCATGGACGGCACATGCGTGGGCCCGTTGTCCGCAATACGTGGACCCTCCAAACTCTAACGATGCGATCCGAAGCTTTCATTTTTTTCCTCTTTTCTGCGTCACGCTCCACGCCGGGCGCTGGGCGAGTGCGGCGGAGCGGAATGTGGACAATGCAGTAGCGTCAGCGGCACCTTGCCCGTCGCTGTCTGCCGCTTGCCGCGTCAGCGACGTCACAGTTGTTCTTAATTTGCTTGCCGCGGGTGCATTTTATTGAGGGCGCATTCTTCCGAGGAGGCCTGCATTTTTGTGCTCCTGGCATCCTCTGTCTTCAACTTGTGTTTCCGTTGCTTGCGAGCGACGCCTGTCCTGCGTGAGTGGTGCTCCTCGTGCTTCTGCCTTGTTGCGACGGCGCCGTTCTCTGATTTACTTCTTCCGCTTCCTTTTCTTTTACGTTTGGAGGAGCGGAAGGACAGGAGCCAAGGTGGCAGTTTCACAATGTGTGGAGTGTACGTTGTTGACCCCGCTGTGTTCGACGCAGACACGGGTGCGGCGTGCTAGGATCGTGTGCGCACGGCTCTGTGGGTGCACTGCGCGTTGCCGCTCATTCCCGCTGGAAACGTGGCCCCAGGGGCTGGGGAGATGTGGGTGAAGAAAATGGAGATGGTAAGGCGGCGCGGCGCCGTCATTGCGGACCTGTGTCTGTTTTGCTTGGATGGGCCGGACTGCGGGACGGCGTTTGAAATGGCCCACGCTGCCGCCCTGGGAAAGAGGGAGTTGACATTTACTTTCGATTGGCGTTCCATGAGGGAGAAGTACGGCGGCGCGTGTGACGCGTCTGTGATGAGTGTGGAGGACTTTGGCCTTTCATTCAGTCTGATGCTCCGCGACGGTGCGGAGGCGTTCGACTCCTTCGACGCTGCCCTTCACTACTTTCTGAGGCACAGCTCGGAATGGCGAGGATGCGACTATGGGGGATGTGTGCGAAGTTAGAGTTAATGCTTTGGGTCCTGGTGGGATTTTGTGCACGGCTTGGCGTGCATCCCCGACGCAATGGCCGGCGGATATTCCATGCTGTGTTTCTCAGCAACAGGGCAGGCGACTGGCTCCGTGCGGCACAGCTGGGTCTGGCGTGTGTGCCGCTGACTGTTGTCTGTTTAGTGCTTTTCCCGCTGCTTTTTTGTGTGGGCCGGAGATGTTGTCCTGTTGCCCACGAGGCGGGTATCCCTTTTTTTTTTTTTTTTTTTGGCTATGAGCGCTGGCACGTCTGTTGGAGGTTGTGCGTCGCCTTTTTTGAAAAAACACACAGCCCTTCCACCTCGGCGTGTGAATGGTTGGAATAAATGATTTCTGGTGCTGCAGTGACACGCTGTGCACCCCATTGGTGTGTCTAATGTGTTTCCCTGTGCTCTTCTACCTATTTCTGACACACACACTTGAAAAGGAAAGCAAACAAGCGCTAAACGCTACTGTGGAATTCGAAGGCACTGAAAGGACCAACAGCACACACACCGCCCACACACATATTTATATGCTCTCACGTGTTGCTGCTGTGAAGGCACCCCGCACACACAACCGTCGCCGCGTGACCGGATCCAGCGGAAGGAGGAGGGAAGGCAGAGAGAGTGAGCCGCAGAGGCCCAACATGTCCTGGCGTGTGTTTACTTCCGCGGTGCTGCTCCTATTTGTCTTGATGATGTGCTGCGGCAGCTGCGAAGCTTCGGCCGCTCAGGAGAATAATTTAAAGACGATGCTGTTTAGGAAAGGGGATTCGTTTGATGATTCGGAGAACAAAAATATGTCACAAGCGTTTGATTCTTTCCGTGCACCTTCTCTTGTTGTGGTGAATGGCCTTGTAGTGGCCATAGTTGAAGCGCATTACACAAACTCCACGGATAAAGAACTGTATGTTGGCCTTGTTGCAAAGTCGATGACGGTGAATGAAAAGAAATGGACGAATGGAACTGCCATTGTGTTTGATCATTACGACGTAAAAGTTTACCGCCTGTTGAGCCCAACTTCTATTGTGGACAATGGAGACATAAAGGCTGTTCTTGGGGGCTACGGCAAGTCAGGGAATCCATTGACGGAGTTGGTCGGTGATGGTAAATATTGGACGTCCAGGTACGCGAGTGGTCAGATTTTTGTTGGCGGGGGTGATGGTGAGGAAAAGGAGTTTGGATGGGATCAAGGTACCACCTCGAAATTTTTTCCTGGTCTTTTTAAAAACTTCAAAGCCAATGCAGAACCATACAAACAATTTCTGGGTGGTGGTGGCGCAGGCATTAGGATGGAGGACGACAGTCGCTATGTGCTGCCTATTCAAGCCTTGAAACATGATGGAAAGAAAGTTTCTTTGGTTGCCCTTGCAGAAAAATCTTCTTTTGGTTGGGAGTTCTCAGATGCTACGAGTGATGATGGCTGCATTCAGCCCGCGGTTCTTGAATGGGAGGACGGCGATCTCGTTATGATGACGTCGTGTGAGGACGGCAGCCGCAGGGTTTACTGGTCAAGCGCCATGGGGAGTTGGTGGATGGAGGAATACGACACTCTTTCACGCGTGTGGGGCAACTCGCTGAAACGTACAGGGCACGGCGTGCAGGGTGGCTTCGTCAGCGCGACGATCGATGGACAGAGAGTCATCCTTGTCAGCCAGCCGGTATATTCTGAGAAGGATAAAAAAGAAACGGGTCGACTTCACTTGTGGCTGACGGACATGCAGCGAATTTATGATGTTGGGCCGATATCCGCTGAAAATGAGAACGTCGCCGCCAGCACTCTGCTGTACGCCGCAGACGAAGTGCCGTCATTGGAAGGGGTAGAATCGAAGGAAGTAGAGGGAAGACTGCACTGCTCTTACGAGGTCGCTGCAGGGGACGGTAAGTACAACATTGCTTTTCTGGACTTGACGGAGAAATTGAAGGACGTGAAGAAGGTATTGGCTGCTTGGAAGGAGAAGGACGCGTACATTGTGAAAGAATATGGCTGCACGGTCGAAAGCAATGCTAAGAGGCGCCGGGAATGTGGTGTTGTTGGTGAACTCACGAAAGGGCTGGTTGGCTTTTTATCCAGCACGTCAAATGAAAACACATGGATGGACGAGTACCTCGGGGTGAACGCCACAATAACGAAAGTAACGGGAGGAAAAGTGACCAGCACGGAGAAGGGCGTGAAGTTCCGGGGAGCGTGGGCGGAGTGGCCTGTTGGCAGGCAGGGGCAGAATCAGCTGTACCACTTTGCGAACTACAAGTTCACTCTTGTGGCGACGGTGTCCATCCACGAGGTGCCGGAGGGAGGTACCCCCATTCCTTTGTTGGGTGTGAAGCTGAGTGAAACCGACAGCCCGCTGATTTTTGGTCTTTTTTACACCCACGACAAAAAGTGGATGGTGGCATTCAACGGCAGTTTTGAGGCTCCGTCGCATGATGACGATGTCGAATGGAAACCAAACACGAAATATCATGTGGCACTGCATATGGATTCTGATGATGGGTTGATGGTGTACGTGGATGGAAAGACGATATACGACAGCGAATATGAGGTCTATGGACACGAGGACGATGAGGATTATGAGAGCTTTCCTCAAAAGTTAAAAACGCTGTTGAGGCCCCACGGCATCTCGCACTTCTACATTGGCGGGGACGGCAAAAGCGAATCGGGCAACATTGACGTGACGGTGAGCAACGTCCTGCTGTACAACCGCGCATTGAAAAATGATGAACTTAAAGCGCTAACGAAGGCGGACGCTGTTGGCACTCCAGAGGCGAATGTTTCGGCTTTGAAAGGTGCGCCTCAAAGCAATCATGCGAGTGAAACTCTTATTCAATCTGACAGTGAGACTTTTGTCATCAAAGAAGTGAAGCAAGACGCCACGTCATCACAGCAGAGAAAAGACGCACAAGATCGGTCATCAGAAGAGGAAAATAAAAAGACCGCTGCTTCGGCCACATATTCTGACAGCCATGCCGTGGCCGACACAAAGAGGAGGGAGGAGCAGATGGAGAAAGCGGCAAACGATGTTGATGACCTGCCGCCCCCCTTGTCTCCAGCACCGGAGGCAGCCAGCGGCCACAAATCACCCGATGCCGAGGATGCTCTCGGCGTGGAGCACCCTGAACAGGAGGAAGAGTCATTGCTGCCCATCGTTGCTGGATCGACGGTGGATGAGGCGAGCGAAATGGATGAGGCCATTCCGCAGAGTCGAACCTCTGACGATCCGGCGCAGCAAACCACTTTACCTCTTCTTTCAGAGGGCGTGGACGACGAGCCGTCTTCTCTCTCCACGTCCACCAGCAATCAACGCAGCGACCGCGAAGAGAAGGAGGCGCACTCCCATGCTGCCGTGGGCACGAACAGCGGCCTCAACTCATCCAACACCACTGAAGTGACGACTGCGGATGTTACAACAGCCACCTCTGAGCCCAAAAGCGATCCAACAACTGTTCAACGCGAAGATGACGTGTCGGATGACGTTGGTGCTGCACCGGATCATCCGAACACAGAGCCTGGGGAAAGAGATATCCAATCGGAGTCCAACGCAGCGCCGCTCTTGGGCAATGAAATTTTTGATGTGGAGAATATCACCGAGTTGTTGTCTGTGGGTGTAAAGGGTGACAGCACCGTGCAGGGTTGTGTATCTCGGATGCTATTATTGCTGCTGCTTCTGGGGCTGTGGGGCACTGTGGCTCTCTGCTGAGGTGTGAGGGAGGGTGGAATTGCGGCTTTCCGTGGAACAAAAAATGTGCAGCTTCCCAGCACTACGCACTGAATTTGTCAAGGAGACTTCTTTTTTTTTTTTTTTTTTCTTGTTACTTTCTTTTCTCAAATAAAATTTTTTTCTTTTTTTTTTTTCTCTTTTTTTTTTTTTTT